ATTATGTGGTTCGAATTGCAAGATGCAAAGTACTTGATGCTGTGGGCAATTTCATTTTAGGCAGTTAAAAATTTATGGCAAGGTATTGCGGCAGTTTAACATCAAAACCTTTTTCTGACTGGTTATAAAAGAATGTGCTTAATGCTTAGTGTCAGCTGATGTTTAGGGATTATATTCATAAATAATATATAACAGAGAATAAAAATTCACACTGAACAATGCTGCACACGTTGTTTGGCCTTACAGAGCATAAAACCAGGTGCAACTAAAAGCAGCAGATATTGACCTTACCTTAGTCATCACCTCAGTAACATGTTTTAAAGTCCTCCGTTTTGAGAATGGCGCCGAGATGGTTTTGAAGTTCCATTTGAAGTCTTAAATGCATCTAAAATAAACATTTATATTCTGTCTAAATTAATACAGATGTCAACTCAGAATGTGGTCAGGGTGCTGCACATGTAAGCACCAATCGAAATTTCATGTCTCAATCAAGTTCCATGTTCTGGACTTAACATGTGCGTTAGAATGAGCGCAGAGAAAAAAAAAAATTCTGTTGCGTGGTTACTGATAGAAGTTCCTGTCGTGCTATTAATGTACCGCTTTAATTTCGCAGGCTGTCTAGACACGCTACAGCCTGAAGAGACTGGAACACAGAAGGGCTGAAAGAGCAATTACTGCAGAAATGTGGCATATGGAGAGAAAAAAAAAATGGCTTCCCAAGGACAAACCAAACTTTGAAACAAAATGAAGTAAAATGCATGTTTTGGCAAATGAACCACCACAGAAAAGAATCATGATTTCAAATGAAAAGAGACTTCTTAGATCCTTTTCAGCCGTAAATATGAAATTGATTATTTTCTTCAATAACATTGAAAGAACATGATGATGAAGATAAGGCTGTAGCTGATTCACAGTAATAGGAGCCGTGATTCAGAACTCGTGATTTTAATAGCAACCGCAAAAAGCGGCAAAGAATATCTTTCATCTGTGGAATTACATGCAACAAACATGTGACATAAAGCTTTTCTAAGCTTCAGCATAGCAATGCTGCTGAAACAGTACCGTTTCGTTTTAGTAGTTGCTTACTCATGGAAATTGTCAAACACCTAATTTACCTGCACATAATGTCAAGTAAAAGTGTTCACACCGTGTCACATCACAGCCACAAACTTCACTGCATTTTACTGGGACTTTTTTGTGACAGACCAAAGTGTAAATGATGACTTAAAAGCTTCAAGTTAAAAACTTGACTTGGACATCAGCGCTCACAAAAGTACAGACCTATAAATGCACAAGAATCCCTCACTGGACAGAGGGATGACTACAACTTAAATACTATGAAAGACAGATGAGGAGGATAACTGATCAGGCAACACAGGTGAAAAAGATGAACTAAATTAACTGAGACGAGGCAAAGTTGAGGAGCTTAACAGAAGAAGTTGACTGGACCGACACTATAGGAATATATGCAAACAAGAACTAAAACCTTACATCAAAAGGGTAACAGAACCTGCTCAACACAAATGAAACTACAAAACATGGGAAGTAGAACATAGTAGAACTGAGGCACAAGGATAATGATACTCAAGGCCAGAGCATGCTAATTTTCTGCCAGCAAATTATTTTGCCTCTGGGCTGGACAGTTTAAATTTGATTTTGGCTTGCATTCTTTTAAATGTTTACCATGTTGTGAGCACTCCTACCCGAGACAACCCAAGTTAATTAAAAAAAATTAAATTGTAATAATTAATTTAACAATTCATCGTCATCATTAATCATAAGGCTGACATGTCACAGTAATCAGTAACAATCATTTTAACAAACTGTTGAGTTAGTGCAAATATGTGAATTAGAAGTAAAATTATTGTCAAACATTAAAAAAAAAAACCTAAACGTCTTAGGAAAAAAAAAATATAATTTTAAACAAATTAAAAGTTTTGTTGCATGTCAGTGACTAAATACTTAAACACTTGGGCAACACTTTATTTAATGTGAGATGCAACACCAACATCACAAATGTAAATCCTCAGAAATTAACTGAAGATCTGAGCATGGGTTTTGCCTTAGATGAGAGTTCTGCAACACCGAGTCATTGTATCAAGTCAGTGGTCACACTCGATGTCCAGCCTGTTTTGTGTTTTCGCCTTACCTGTGCAGCAAACAGTAAATGGATGTCAGATTGTGTATTTCTGACTCTTTATCTTCTGACATATGTAGTTTATGTAGCTTTGGTTTTGTTTATTTTGTGTTGTCATTTTGATGGACTTCCCTCAAGTTTCAGTAGTTACAAGCGACAGGTTTGCTGGCTTTCTGAGGCTCCTCCACAGTTTGGACTCTGGTTTATTTTCCGCTCTTTTCCACTTCCATCAGCCACACAATTTTCAGGGTAGCATTTTCGCTTGTTGTTTTTGGGCCACCAACACCGATATAAATCATTCAAGCACAGCGCCTAACTCAAAAGATAAATCACTCTTGTGTTTGCACATATAAGACAACTTGGTAAAGAACAAATTTCGACCACACCTCAACTTTTTGCTATTTGTTGCAGCCTGCCGCAAAGATTGAAGTTTTACAGATTTCAAAGATGCAATTCAGTGAGAAATCTCCAAGTGAATTGGCTGACAAGCCTGGTGTATCCCAGCATAGATGGCAGTAAGTCCTTAAAAATAAAAAGAAATACAATAAAAAACTACAAATATTAAGAAATGTCTTAAGGAACAACTAAACAGAACAGAGAAAAAACTTAATGGGCTCCGAGAGATAAATTGTCTCCAAGTTAATTCATCTATTTTATGCGTCTCAATTAAAATGGTTTAAGTAAAAGAACACAAACTATTTCACAGGCAACAATCAGACATTTATCAGGGCCATATGTTGTTAGAATGGTTCAGGCAGCATCTGGCATCATTGCTACTCATGAATTGGCTGGCTCAGTGTAGTATAAAAAACTTGTTTATGAGTGGAGTTCACAACTCAAAGAACTTTGGACAGAACATTGTTGCTTGTGGAGAATCAAGCGAATACAGCTCATCTTAATGCTTAATGGGACTCTCTTTGGAAGTGAACAAAAGACATACACAGTTTAGTTTACAGAGATGGGGGGGGGGACACCAATTTCCTTCAAGGTGCAGACTGAGCTCACCTGGGTGGCTCAGCAGAGACAGTCCAGCTTTGCTAGGTTCAATATTGGCATTTTAGTCCTATGTGTCTTTCTTCACTTTAAGCTCAGCTATGCCGTCTTTTTGAATGCTCAGGCCAATCATGTTACACTTAAATGTTTTTAGTGGCCAAACTTTGCTCCTTACTGGATGGGAGAGGAAATGCCCATCCAGATAGGAGCTGCAGCTTTTTTATTTTTTAACTTCTGTTTCCAACACTTCTGGAAGAACAAGAGAGGTACTGAATTTGACATGATTAAAGATGTTACCATCCTTTTCTAAATAAAAATATGATGGTGAGCCAAATTCTGTATGACTCAAATTATATATCTGGAATCTGAATTTATTTTTGATATGACAGAATTGTCAAAAGAAAATGTGCGATGAGCACATTCGCCCAAGACAACTCCAATTTCAGTATTTGTCAGCTATTTGGTATTACTGTTGATCATCTGTCTGTGCTATAATAGTTTGAAGGGCAAAACAGGTGAAACCATTAAAATGTGTGAATAAGAGCAGGTGTTTTAGGAATTCAGACATTACAAAAAGTAGCTTACATGAGGAAAGACAGAAGATAATAAAACAGAGGCAGTGATAAATGAACAAAACTAGATCAACATAGAGCTGTAAGCTTAGCTAAAATGGTTAAAGCAAAAGATTTCTAGAAGATTATGAATTTTCATCACTCCGTTTCAACCTGACTAAACTTAATTTAACACTAGTTCTTGTTAAGAAGTTAAGAATGAAATGGCATAACACAGCTCTGGACCTTTTTTTTTTTTTTACTGCGCTACAGTAAAATGTATTCAAAGATACAAAGTGTCTGACTTGCTCGTCATTTGAATAAAATCTTGATGGAAAAATGAAAAGTAGCTTTAGATGTAAATAAGTGCTGTGGCATTTGAATACTGAAAACACACCACAGCAAATATATGCTGCAATCAAAGCTAAATGCTGTCTGGACCATTTTTTCCCCATCAAGGCAATGATTTCTTTTTTTCTTTTCTTTTTTTTTTTAGAAAAAGCTATGACATCTCAAAGGTTTATGGTACTTTATAGCGCAAAGATGCACTTGATAATTCTGTTTCACTTTGTTATGGAAAAGTTAATGTCAGAATCTTTACATGATTCACATATTGGTAATGAAAGGGATAATTTTTGTGTCAAGAATGTGTTACATTAAACAAAAAAGGCAAACCGGGTATTTTATTACATAATGAATGTTGTTTGCTTCATGTCAGAGCCCGTCCTATTTCATAATTAAGTAATACCAACATCTTCTGAAATTCAGCCGTATCAAAATCTTCCAGCTGACAGATGTAAGGATAAAGAAGAATTTTAAATGTTCTTCCTCCTACTCTATCCAAGAAGTGGTAATGAAGAGGGAGATCACTGAAATTAATAATAGAAAAGTAAAGTCTACATACACAAATAACTAATTTTCTAATGATGATGACAGTATTAGTGGAAATAAAATCATTTGTTATGCCTTCTGTAGCATTTGAATGGTAAGTGCAATTATATAACCTCCATTTTAATTGGAAGAACTTTTTTTTTAATTCATTAATTGCTCCAGGAAATTCAACCTTCAAATTTAAATTCCAATTTGGTCACTGTTGCAATATATGGTTTCGCAGTCACACACTCCTTTCCCTTAATCAGACGGCAAGTGAACATGTCATTTTCATGTTTGATTGAGCACCCTGTTGCTTTCCTTTAACATTGTGCAACAGCAGTCTGACTGAATTGAACTTAATAACATATACTGAGCGAATCCCTTTCAACACAGCAAAAGTGTGAGCTGCAGGAGCCCCATTAAAGGACAGACATGCACAGCAGTGGTGGGTTAATCTGGCATATAATCAGAGGTTCAGAAGAATCTGACAGATCATGTTATTAAATGAATAACCTAGCTCTAAAAGCTTCCCATTAATTTTCACCTGCAGTAAATAGTTCAATCCGTTCAATAATTAGCTACAGCAGCTACATAGTATTTCATTGCACTGAAGTCCGGAGAACAAGAGAAAACTTTGCTTAGATCTGCAACAGTTAAAGTGTCTCTGTGTCAAATAAACTTTTGACGTTTCCCGATTGCCAAGAATTACAATAGATCAACATATAAATAACAAATTTATGCAAATGCATCAGAATGTTCATAACTTGGGGAAACAACATGCAAGAGGACATTCAAGCAATATTGTAGTATTAACAGAACAAAGTCCTGGTCAGAGATATCACAGCAGCCGTTTCTGTTCTTAAAAAAAAAACAAACACTTGATGTTTGGCCTACTCGTATAACCTGTTGTAACAATATGACACGTTTTGACTTTGGTGAAATACTTCCTCTTGAAAAATGTCAGACGTGTCTATCATTCTATAGCAAACTTGGCTGAATGAAGTCATAAGGCGAATTATTGTTGAAAAGATTTGTTGTCTGAATAACATAATGGTGTTGTTTGACATAACTGACAATTTTTTTTTTCCATGTGTGAAAAGAGCTGAAAATGAGTCATGAGGTCAGTTTCAACCCTATATGAGGATCACAGTCAGAGTTGCTGAATAAGTTGTTTTTTTTCTTAAATAAGCACATTGATTTCATTTTGAAATTTTATGATTATTGTCGTTTTATGTTATCTTATTATTGCTATTCCTTCTGGGGTTTTTTTCCTGTTGGTGCCGTTTATTTTATGACTTTTACCTCCATCACCTCGGGACTCAAATTACCAACTTTGCTATCCTACGCTATGATAATAAAGGTGCTAAAGTTTCAGTTACTGTGAGTATTTTGTTCACCATACGCCAAAGTCAAAATGTCAACAACTGCAGGGAAATGGTGTAGTAAAATTTTTCATGATCTCAAACGGCAGAGAGAAACTTCTGAATAGGAAATGAGGCGGCCTGAAGCGTAAATGTCCATTGCACTTGTGTCTTTAAAAGTACTTTCCATTAAATATTGTCAATTTCTTTTTCTCCGTTCCGGACAAAACGTACAACATTTAATTCAATACCAATCCAGCTTGTTTCAACTGTGTATCAAGTTGTTTGTTCCGCCCAATAATTTCAATGTTGCTGCCTCAATGTCAGATTCGAGCACTGGTATTTGTGGGGTGGCAGCAGTAAAACACAACACCAGAGATTGAAGAACCTTCCTGTCTTTTTGCAGTCAGGTTGGAAACGCAGCAAAGTGTTTTGATTTGCTTTTTAAAACGTTCTGCCTCTACACCTCCACTCGACCTCCAGTATTCTTCCATTCTCTCATTGTATTACGAACCATGGAATGGCGACGTGAAAAGACTTGGCATCTTAACTGTATTGTCTTCACAAGGATGTTTTTTTTTTCCCATTCGAGAAAGAAAAACATCTTCAAAAAATGCTTGAAGGCTGATTGTTGATTGCAGTGAAGTTAAAACTCTTCCACCCACCAGAGACTAATTCAAATCTGTCTCCAGTTATTTTAGCGTTTTCCTACAATGACAAAAAAATAAATAAATAAATAAATACAAAACGTAGCCTACTTTTCTCTGATCATTCTAAACTGAATTTAGTATGTGGATTCATGGCTGCATACCTATGTACATTTTGTTGCGGTAAACTTCCATCTATTTTATTAAAATTTTATGTTACAACAAAAGTGAAAAGTGTTACATTCATTTTGCCCTTATTGTCTGACAGGATTAAATATAACCCTTTTATAAATGCAGTTGTTCTGTGAATGTCTGAGGACTGTTAAGAGAACATCTGTGAGCAAACAGCATCATCAATACCACTGAACACACCAGGCAGGTCAGGGATTACGTTTTGGAGTAATTTAGAGCAGACCAGGTCATAAAATAATATCCAAAGTTCTAAAGTTGCGGAGCACTGTTCAAGTCATCATCCAATAATGGAAAGAGTGTGCCATAACAGGAGACCTACCAAGACATTCCCATCCAACTGGCAGGCTGGGTTCTTTTACTGACTCCAAAAAAGTAGTCATGAGGCTCAGCAGGAACTGCAGAGAACCACAGAGTAAAAATACGTATTATGACACAACACTGTTTTGTGTTCCAGAAATTTGATCCTTACAAAGCATGTAAGAGACGAGTCAGATAAACAGATGACGTGCTGCACAAAACTGGACTTTTTCCACTGGAAAAGACATCATGTAGGTTACTTTTCTTCCGCAGGTTCAAAGAGATCCTGGAAGAAAACCAGCAAAACATTAGAGCGCCTTTCAGGAGGAATACAGCCCACAGCATACAATCAGAGCAACTATAGGATGGGAATGCTTTAAAATGTATACAAGAAAAAAAATTTCACCAGATTTGCAAAACTACATTTATGCCAAAGGAGATAGAATATGTGTTCAGATGAGATCCATTTGTGATTAAAGTCCCTGTTTAAACAGACAACCGCTGAGCATGCATTCCACATACTTTTCATTAATCCCACATTACTGTAAAGTTCCAGAAATAAATGTGCTCTAACTCAATACTCTAATTTATTGAATGAATGTCTAAAAGTGTTGAAACTTTCACTATGGTAATTTTGCCTTGAAGTTGTGTTTTGAGCATTTTTCCCCTCTTTCTTCTGTCTCAGTTTCTGTTTGTCTTTGTCTTTATGAAGCACATTTGCCTTTTCATTCTTGGCCTTATTTCTCTTTGACTCTGTCGCTTGTTTGCTCACTGTATTTTCTGCCAGTAATCATTGTGCCCACTGCATCTAAGAGCAAGCTTTTGTCTGCATCTGCGCTTTTCTCGGCCAGTTTGCCTTTCTGCGTCCCAACTTACACATGGACATCCATTACTGGATGAGTGTTTTCTCCTTCTGGAGTGTGAGGCAGCCTTGGATTTTTTTTTTTTTTTTTTTCAATTTTTGTGTGCATGTGTGTTTGCACACTCCATCATTAAAGCTGCTATAAGCTTTAAACACGCTTGCAACACCTACCTCCTGTATTCCGCATTCTGGCCGTCTCCTGAGTCTAACAAGCTGGACTTTCTTGGGAAACCCACAACCCAAACAAGCTAATTAACACCTGAAACCTCTATTTGAAAGTGTTCAGGGACACAGCTTGCCAGATTTTCCCTGCAAAAAGGTAGAAAAACAAAATTACTTCATAATCCTGTCATTTTTGAAAACAGCACATCATATATTTCTTGTTGATAATAAAACAGTCATTGGAATTTAAGCAATTTCAGCAACTCCTACTGCTTTTTTAAAGTGAATTCTTTTTTTTTTTTTTTAACAATGCAAACTTTAGTACTTTATTATGAAAACGGACGCAAACTAATGCATGACTTGTAAGGTTGCCAGTTCATCACCAAGCAGGCCCCACATTGGTATTCAAACCAAGAACTTTCTTGCTGCTACCAAGTGCAGGACAACTTTCAATTTTATTTTGGGAAAATCTCAAACCTAAACTCCAAATTTCAGTGGTTCATCAATCAAAAACAATCATTTACATAGCAATTCATCCCAAAGTGATTTCAAAGTCAGCAAACGTTAATCTTTTTACGACAGAAAGGAGACCTGCATCACGTCCCCCCTTTTGCATATTCTGAAAGGTTTGCATGGTGTTGCATACATCTAAGGAAGGTGTGGCATTACCAGATGTCTCAGCTTAGGCCAGACATCCGCTTTAATGATCTTTCCGAGTGCAGACGGTAGAGAAGATGACAGCCTGCTCACTAATTAATCTGCACAGTTTATGTTGACAAAACATCAGGCTGACATCTGCAGAGAGCTCGCAACACGGCGTTAGCTTGCCAGGCACAGACAGATTGAATACAGTAGCATCCAAACATTGATTAGTTCACCTTCAGAGCTTGAAATCTGATGATTTTGATAATTATTGAAGTTGCGCTTTACATCGTCGGTCCACTTTGGGGAATTAATGCTCGACTTAAATTGTTTATCACACAAAGTGAATTTGAAGTCAATATTGATGAGAGTTCTAAACAGTATTTTAAACTGCTGATTAGAACTCCGTATTCTGAACATCAGCTTACTTTAAACTTCATGCAAGGATCAAATGAAAATGTAATGCATTTACTCAGTTAATTTTCTAACACAACCAGAAGCACGCAGCGCGTTTCACATTTCACACATCCTGTCAAAGCAAAGTATGATCTTGTGACCTGTTTGATTGCTGAAGATAATCCTTAATAACGAAACACTAAACCGAAACCCAGCCAGCATATAGCTGCACGCCGCTGCAATTACAACGAAGAAAAACTGCAGTGTAAATGAAGGCTCCCCCTGTGTTGCTAGACAACAGAAAGAAGGCCAGAGGGTCACGGCAACATGGCTGTCAATCTCACTGCATCGTGTTCTGCCCGGATTGGGTTTAATAACACCCAATGGTTTGATTTCTGAATATGATAGAGCTTCAGTGGAGCTTCTTTTTTCGGATTATCAGGCTTTGTTCCAGAGCGTATTTAGCCGACGGCTCTCCTTAAAATCTCTACAATGTCTCTGAGCTGCTGTTATGGACACAAAATAATAAGATGGGAGGGTTTCTTTTGGATTTCTTTAATATGTTGCTGGCTGCAAGTGCAGCAACATTGTGATTTATGTTTTACAAGTTTATTGATTGACCAAATAACTGATAAAGTCTTTCTCACATTTTTCTTCTCCACTGAAGCACAAGAAAACGTCTGTTCCTCTACAGATAGTGGGACCACTAATGACTGCCTTAAGACTTTAGCTTCATTTATTATGTTAAATATTAGAACTTCAGTTGATTTATGTTTCTTAGGACATCATCTGCCAGGAAAAAATGACAGCAGCCCCATATGTTGATAGAAAACATCATTTTTAAGTCCTTCTTTGCAAATCCTGTCACCATTCAGAATACTGGGAAACACTACCGACTTCAACTGAAATGTCATTATGCTGAAGGTAAGAGCATCAATTCTGCTACTTTTCATAAGTGTGCATGCATTAATTTTCCCTTGACACCGAATTGTGAGGACCTAGACGCACATTTAAAATTCAACAATGGCACAACAAATTGAAGTCTTTTGCTACAAACATGCAAGCTGTTTGAACAACCCAGTGAGCATTTATGGATTATTTCTGAGCAAAGAAAAACAAAAAACAAAACAGAAAGAGGGTTAAAATGCTCCAACCAATTTCGAAGGCAATTTTACAGTGACTCTGCAGAGTTAATGTGAGATGCTCATGTGGGTGCTCATACTGGCACTTTGAAAAGAAAGCAGTTCTAGTCAGACATTACTTGGAATTGGGGAAACTAAAGACCTAAAAAGAATAGAAAGCAAAACTGAAAAATTGAATTTAGAGCTGGCACGACAGGAGAAGTACATTTATACATAATATCCTCCATTAATGGAATGAACTAAGATATGTCGGAATGTATACTAGATGGGAAAACCATTCTGTCAGATTATTAAAATCAAGGCTGTTATGAAGAACATTAATCTGAAACTATAGCTCCTCTTGCAATTTCAGTTTAATGATTCAGTTTCAAATGAAAGAATTGAACAGCTACACTGTGCTGGAGAAATAAGCGAGCTGAAGTGGGGGAGCTTGGGTTTGCAAAAATTTACAAAAAAAAATAAAAATAAATAAAGTTTAACAGTTAGCTGCTTTATCAACTGTCACCCTTAATCTGAATCTCCCCAATTCACCAGTACTTAAAAGTTTTTGCTGTGTTGTCACCCTTAAATTTCTTTCAGTTCATCAGTTGGATTTCAGACAAAAATAACCTGATTAAAAACTGTAGTTTTCCAAAGATGGTTAAATGTATTAGTGGGAAACGGATCTCCAGGCCAACCGGGATACGTGAAAATACGATGAGGTTAGGAACTCAGACACACTGGTAGCACTGGGATGACACACGACACGGGGACAAAATTAACCAAAAAACAACACAGAAACCTAAATCCTCAGTACCCTCCCCTCAAAGAGCAGCTACCAGACGCCCAACAATGTCCAAAAAATAAATAAATAACCCAACCAGAGTGGGTGGTGAGGCGCTGGACCGAGGTAGTACAAAGAACAGAAAACAACTCAGTCCAAAACAAACGGAGCCTGCCGAAAAGGTCCGGTGGGAGGCGACGAAGGAGGCTTACCTTTCGGGAGAGGTCCGGCTGCTGGTGACGAAGGATGCGGACACATCGTAGCTGGTCCGGTTGGTAGCCCAGAGGCCGGGTTGACCCAAGAAGAGACTGCGGAGGGCGGCTGGCAGGCCGCACAGACCCACGAGGAGGCAGCGTGGGGGTGGCCCGGAGGCCGGCTGAAGCTACGAGGAAGACCTGAGCGCCGCCGACAGACAGCACAGGTAAGTGCTCGCTCGCTGCTGGCTCTGATTCTGGGAAGCTAGGCTCTGGCTCGTGGAGACTAGCTGTTAGCGCCGGCTCGTTAGCGACCGAGTCGGGGGAGGCTAGCCGCTAGCTTGGGAAGTTCGCTGGTAGATTCGGAGGAAGGACTGAGCAGAGCAATAGTAGACAGGGATGGATCACTGTGATGCTCGGACGGAGCTGATGGCCCGCTTACTGGGGCTGATATTGCGGCTGGTGCTGGAGACGGAGAGGGGAATGTCTGGCTTAGTGGGCGAGGGTTCTCCAATGGGCTCTTTGCACGTCAATTTACGCGTTTGGGGATAAGCGGCTCGGTCGCTTCCGGTCTACTGAAAATTGCATTTCACTCTTGGTGCTTACAGGGCTTGCCCAAGGTAACAATTAATGATGTACCTCGATCCAAAGCTCCAACAAGTAAGCTGGAGAAAGGTTTTAAGATGTACGCCTTGTTACACAAATACAAAGGTGAATTTTACTTTCTTTGAACTTTTTGACTAACATTAGCTTTAGCTTATGCTAGTATGCAATCTACATCTGACACTTTTCCTATAAAAATGTGCTACTTAAGTATCTAAACATTTTCATTCAATATTTTTACCTTATTTTGTATTTATTTGGACCCAGGTTGTAGTGAAAATGACGATAGTTTTAATGATAATAACAAAAAAGAGAACAGAAATCCAGGCAGTACAGATGAACAGAGAGGCTAAGAACTCAGACACACTGGTAGCACTGGAATTGCACACGACACAGGGACTAAATTAACCAAAAAACACAGAAACCTAAATCCTCACACACAGCCTCTTGAATAGATTTAAGTTCAGACCATCAAAGTACAATCTCCATTCACACTGCTCTTTTATTAAATGCTTTGTAAAAATTTACATCAAGAGGCACACATCATCCTTTTAGTTTTCACATTAATTTTATCTTAATCTTATAAAAGTCATCTTATGTGAGACAGACTTTTGTGTTTCTTTCATCACCAGTGGTTTTTGCCTTGCACCTCTCCCATGGATGACATTTTGGCACAATATTCTTCTTATTTTTAAGTAGTGAGCACACACTGACCTTAAGAGACAAGTTAGACCACAGTGGGGTTTTGTGAGCTCATGTGTGGGTCAATGTTCTTTCGGTGAAATTTTAGTTTGAGGTTCACCGCTGCTCCATGATTTCTCTATTTTAAGTTTTGTAGCACTTTTTAAGACCGGTAAATCTCAGGGACTTACTTTATCAGACAGGTTAAGTACTTTCTTGTTTATGCAGGTTTGAGAGTAAGCAGGTGTGAATATGGCTAGTGAAATGGAGCTTCCCAAAAATCTTGTTAATTACAGTTAATTCATAATTCAAGAGGGGGAGCCATTACTTTTTTCAGCAAGGTTAGGTTGGCTTAGAGAGCCGTTTCCTATTAATGAATAAAATCATAATTTAAAATAGCTTTTGGTGTCTCATTTATAAGTGTCTCATTTTAAAACTTGTGTATTTATCTGAAATATTTAAATGTGATGTAAAAAGCTAATATTTTTACATCGCAGTAAATCCATGTAGTGATTTTTTCTATGCGTCCTGAAAGTGTGAGGACGCATCTTCATCTGCTTTAAAGTGAGCTTTCTAATACCTTTCTATAATTTAACTTTTCACTTTCTGCCTCAGGTATCAAGGTTGTGAATCCAATCAACCTCTAAATGACTGCGGATATAATTAACATTAACAGCGAAAGTAGTGGAAATACACAAGACAAGCACCCCAGGTAAAATTGTGGGTTCAGGGTAATTTACTTTCATTGGTCCAAAGGTCAGGATAATTCAACAACAGAAATGTAAATTTTAAATGACACTAAACTTGTCGCAGAAAATACATTTTCTTGCAAAGTAAAAATAGCACCAACTGTATATTTTTATAGAAACACACGAACAACCTCTCTTCCCCAACACGCACATTTTTCTCAGTAATAAAAGAAGTACTGCCAAGACAAAAAAGGTACACTGCAATTACCCTTTTGTTAGGAAGCACTAAGTTTTTCTCTAACCTTTCTTTTCAAGTTAAAAAGTGTCTAAATATGAACATTCTGGAGCTGGAGCTTGACTGAGTGATTAAAACTAAAACAGCAAGAATGTCAATTATTTGAATCCCAGCCTTGGGTTTTTTTCTGAATGGCGTTTCCCATGCATGTTTACTTCTTTTCTCTTTCCACAGTTCAAAAACATGGCTAATTTATTTTTGCTAATTTGCACCTAGGGATGAGTGTGTGTGTGTGGCTGTTTGTTTGATGTGTCCTTCTATCTGCACCGCCTGTCACCCAGTGACCACTTGGGATAGACAACACCCCACCCGTGATTGCATAAGTGGGTATACACAATGAGAATGACATGCCTGCAGGCATCTTTTAATTTTAAAAGTGAATGTAAGCATGACAGCATCTGCCTCTGCTAGCATAAACATGATCAGTGTTATCCTGGAAGAAAATGGTTTTGGCTGTTCATAATGTTTATCTTCTGAATATCTTTTTCAATAGGGCATAAAATTATTATTATTTTGGATCGTCTAGACACAAAATAACCCCAAAGTAATCTGTGCTACACCACATCTACAGTGTAAGGAGATGCACATGAAAGCGACCGTGATTGTGACTGAGTGCCGAAGTGAAATAGTCCATTCGCCTTATAGACTCCTTAATGGTAAAGTACAGGAAACCGCTGGTTCTTGCAATTTTGCTACACAAGGTTAGACTGTGTGTGTGTGTGTGTGTGTGTGTGTGTGTGTGTGTGTGTGTGTGTGTGAGTGAGGGGATAGGAGTGATGGGAGACAGTGGTTTCAGGGTATCAGTGTTCCCTGTATAAACCACATTTAGTATCAATAAATTTTATTTCACAACTTTTAGCATAGCAATAGAGTAAAATACATTAGAAAATGTTTTTTTTTGTATTTTGGAGAAGGTCAGATATGACGCAAAACTCTAATAGCAAAACTCCTTGTTGCTGAAATGTGCCATATAAATGAACTTGATTGACTGAATATAAGAAAAATTATATAATCCATTTTTAAGTAGCATTTCACATTTTGTTCTGTCTCCATGGAAGCTTAGAAAGATGTGAAGGTTTAGCCTTTTCATTGACACAACATTTTTTTCTAAGAGCAATATGTGGATATATTTGTAAAAAAAAAAATTATCTTCAGCGCATTTGTGTCGGACAGATGTAAGACGTTTCACTGTTGCAGGACAGTACAATACAAGCAAAATTGCAGCTCTGCAGACCAACTACTTCATTTTTTTTTCAACATTACAAATTATTTAGTTGAGATTGCTCATTTTGAAAATAAAGAAGACTGAAATACCATAGTATCTTCAGTAGGATTATTACTGTAGAGGGCTCACTTCCAATTGAGAATGAAAAACCAAGAGTCTCCACACACAGACTGGCAGATTTTAAGCACTCACCTTTATCAAGTGTAATAAGGTTGGTCAAAACTAACGAAAAGCCAAAATTAAGTCCTAAGGTCAATAAATAGGAATGTTATGGTCTACAGACAGGTTTCAAACTCCAGGCCTATTGGGCCACTGTCCTGTATTTTTTAGATGTGCGTCTCATGAATCTAATAATTAGGCTGTTAGAAGGATTCTGGATAACTTGTCTACATACTGAAGAGGTAATTCACCATTTGATTCCGGTTTATTAGACCAGTATTGCATCTAAAAAAATGCAGGACAGTGGCCCTCGAGGACTGGACTTTGACACTGCTGAACAGTCGCAGGAAAAATGCTGACCGACTGAAACTTTTCACAAGGAGGGCAAGCCACAAAACAACATTGCTGAACAACCTGATTGTTCAGAAATCCGTAATGTATTCAAGTATTTTACTGGAAAGTGTGTAGGGTCGAGAAGGTTCACAAACAGCGGTCTGAAGTAAGTTCTTTGTTGAACTGAGCCCTGCAGTTCCCATCAATTGCAAAGCATAAACAATATTCACACAAAAAACCTGTCATCTTTATGGTTTTGACTCTACGTAGGAATGGTTGATCATCACATGCAGATTGTGATGAGGTGATTGCAGACAGATGAGTGATCTGCAGCAATCAGCCATGCCCTTCAACAAAGATCCTGTGTCCTATGTGTACTATGTCAGATTAGAAAGACGGCCTAAAACGTATTATTAGACAAGCAATAAGTCATGTCAAGCCACAAAATCATCGTAAAATTCGAAATAATCAAAAATGTTTTGGCATTTCATTTTCATAGCTCGATAGATAGTTAGATAGATTGATTATTTTAAAATGTGACATAATACTCAAAAGACACATCAATGTGCAAATCTACATCCGTGTCTCCTGGCAACAATAACCATACCATAAGATGAAGAGTTGCTATGTACTTACAGTTTAGAATATAACTTGCAACAACATCAAATTCTTGTGAGTTTTACATCCAAAGCCGATGTTAAAAATAAACGGCATTAGTGGTGTTAGTTCTTTCAATTTTCTCTTTTTTTTCTGGATTCAGTTCTTATTTGATCGAATTGAATTTATTGCAATCCAACCTAATTTTATTAGAAGGGAATTAAAGTCAGTTGAGCATATGCAATGTCAGTTTATATAATGTAAATAGTTTGTGCCAACAAGTTAAATACCAACTTGTATCGGAGCAACATTGCTGTGCATTTGCTTGATTATTCACTATTCAAAACTGATGTTTTCCAGATAGGAGATAAACTTTGGCACTTGCTTCAGTATTTTTTTTTTTTTTTTTTTTTTTTTTGGGGGGGGGGGGGTTTCCAAAAATTTTGGGGACCTTTGGAAGGGGGAAAAAGTGTTTCCCGTTGGGTGTTTAACACTGGG